TGGTGATGTTTCAGGCACCACTTGGTCTGGTTGTCTGAGAAACACAATAACCACCCTAAGATTCTACAGGGGCCAAAATTCACTCATTTGGCCATGCCTGAACTCCCAATTCTAGCACTGCTAGATACTGTTCCTTTCCAAAAGGCTTACTTTTGATAATGCTTTTTCAAACTGCACTGGCTTGTGTTTAATAAATATTAAAGCAATGGCTCCTGGAGCTCAGCAGGGGAGTTTCAGGAAGAAGTCATCCATAAACCAGAACATCCTCTTGAAAGTTAGCACATCACACTTCAGGCTATAATTACATTTCTGTTATAAACTAATGCATCCAATAAATTCAAAGAGTAATTAATAAAAAATATGAAGAATTCTAATGTTATGATGAGATTAATTGCATATTCTAGTAACCTTGTCCGAAAACTATATCTAACAGCTGAAAGAATTGAATTTAAAAATTCAAGAACATGAATTGCTAATAGTAATAATTCCTTGCACTTACAGTATACAACACTTTTCTGGAACCTCCACTCAAAGTGCTTTGCAGGTAGTACGAACTCCCCTCCACCACCACCATTGTCTAAAACCCACCTGAAGTGATGGCAGCCAAAGTGTGCCAGTATGCTCACCACACACCAGCTATCAGTGAGGAGGAGAACAGAGTAATGAAGCCAATTTATACATTATAGATTATGAGGAAGCCATGATTGTTAAGGGCCAAAGGGAAACGCTCTGGGATTTTTATTGACCACAGAGAGTCAGGACCTCAGTTTTACGTCTCATCTGAAGGACAGCGCCTTTTTTACAGTTTTTTACAGTGTCCCCATCACTATACTGGGGAATTAAGACCCACACAGACTGCAGGAAAAGCGCTCCCTACTGGTCCCACTAACATCTTTGCCAGCAGCAACCTCAGTTTTCACCGGAGGTCTCCCATTCAGGTACTGGCCAGGATTACACCTCCTTATGATATACAGTAGCAGCTAGCTATAATGCTGTACAATTATGTAGTATCGTAATACAATTATGTTGGACTATTTCAAAATAAAGCACAAAAGCAGTTAGAGTGTTCTTGTTTCTGTGAGTATAATACTAATCCCAGTGTTTTTATTCTATACCTCAACACAAGTGAATAGTAAAAATGTTCCTTGTCATTTATTTTTTATTAAAAAATTATAGATCTTTGATCACTTTAGCCTGTTCATTTGTGAAAAGAAAAATGAAGAAATGTCACTATAAAAGGTTAAATCTGACAGTTGTTTTTTAAAGGAAATGGGGACAGAAGTATTTTTCCCATTTCAGCAAAATGAAACAGATTCCAAGGCATTGTCATGAAGGCACTTCGTGTTCTATTAACTGCTCTGACATCGAACCATGAATGCTTACTTTGATTATATGATGCCAGAAATCCACCAGCCGATACAGAGTTGTCAGTGCGTAGCTTGATGTACATTTTCTCCCTGCTAGAGCGAATTGGTGCAGGCAGCTCATTGCCACAGAGCTTCGCAAGAGGCCTGGAATCGCTACTGTTACCATCGTATACCTGCAACGTGGAAATAGATTAAAAATATTTTTAAAAGCTAGGTTCATCAAACCCCTAAAAGCATTAAGTACACTGTGGCCTCTGAATTTATTTTTCTTCTGAACTGAAGTCACTGTAAATTTATATCTTAACAGTTTTACATGTTCAAAGGTTTAAAGTGTGTACCATATCTTACACATATAAGACCCTATTTCTGTTGGCAATGATTAGAAAAGCAGAACGGACTGTTAGCTAACATCTTTGTAATACACAATAAAAAGCAAGAAGCATAAACATTTGAATATGTAAGTTTACATAATGTTAATTATATACCAGAAATATGACTTCTTAAGCAATTAATTCCCTACTACAGAGAGTAAACACTATAACTACCTGCAACATACTTTGGATTTTAGAAATCCAAATCCAGAAAAAGAAAAATCCTGACATAATGATATGAGATGATAACATGCTTGTTTATATGAAATAGATTTCTGTTACATTTGGTTTGTCTAGTTTACAATAATTCAGTGAGAGTCTTGAGACAATCTGTTACAGATCTATATCCATAACCAGAAGCATATCAAGTCATGGTTTGTCCAACAATAACAATGTAGCTAAAAAGTGTTTAAGTGTAGTTACATCACTTTTTGTTTAATAAATATGGGTATTTAAATTGCTGTTAGTTTAATATATCAAGGCTTATTATTCAGTTATCATTTACCAATACATAGGTGTTAAATAACATACTTGTTCATTAACATGGTTAATAGATCTGCCATAGAATACTTCATTTTTTAATAATTATATGTAATAATTGCATTTTACAATGTTGCGTCATAATAATTCAATATTAAGTGAATTTTAACACCTAATAAACCTCTATAAACAATTCTCAGAATACGGCTATATCAAAATGTCTTTAGAAATATCCATACATTCACAAAAATATACATTATTTCTTCATTGCAAGCTCAGACACCAGTATGAAATCCTTCTAATAGTGAATTTAGTGAATATGATGCTGGTGCATTAAAATACAAGTACTGGCACAGCCTCACATACCGCCAAATAATCATAGTTGCAATTGCTGTTGGACTCCAAGTGAAAGTCTCCAAACTGAAGTTGGATCAGACTACCTCCTGGGGCCTTCAGTGTCCAGTAACACTCAGCATTGGGATGGTATGGCAGAGGGTAGTTTGGGGAAGAGAAACTTCCACTGTTTGTTGTTAAGGTGCCACCACAGCCTAAAAATGACCATGCAAATTCCAGGGAATTATTTCACAGCCTTGTACAAGACTAAGACAAAGGCTTAACCTTACTGTAAATTATGGAGTCCATAGAAAAAACACCAACAACATACCATATAAAACTAAAACAAAAATTAAAATAGTGAAGAATGAGTATGTCAGTAGCAACACTAGCATTTTATTCTTTTATGAACCAAAGCAAGTGATCTACTATACTGTTTACACAATCTTTACTATGGTCAGTTCAGTAATGATGCCAATGGACTTAAAAATAGTTAATCTTCTTTACGATGGATGGAATACTTTTTTATATCCACTGAGTGCAGAATTACAGGTGATGCAGATGTAACAGGATGGGTATATAAAATATTTTGAGTGCAATCGTTTTTTTACGCTGTTTGTCCTGTACTAATCTATACCACCTATTGGAGTATTAGGATATGAATAAAAATTATTATATCGACCTGAATGTTCAATCTATTTCACTGAAAGACATGGTTCTTCCATTGTGCAGACTAAACTGGGACAGAGAAACATTTAGCTAATTAACATTCAATACATTTATTTTTATTACAAAACTTTGATCTAACAAGTGTGCCCACTAATTTAATAGTAGTCAAGATGTGCCAGCAACACGTTCTCAGTACCTGGCTCCAGTTGTCTTCCCCTCCTCTGTTACTATAGTTGGCCTTCACACACATGACTTTTCTCGAATTGAATTTAGTGAAATATTGCAACCATCCCCTAACAAAAGCTCACCATTCTACTACTCATGGTCCCAAGCAGTGAAGCATAGTGATGCCAATAGTATGACAAAAATGCAACAAATTCAATATGTTAAATTATTAGGAAGGTTTCTGCATATCCCAGGTTCCAATATGAAAACTTTATTACTGGCATACTTTAGCTTAACTATACCCATGTGTTATACTTATTTAAAAGCATTATATAAGATAAATTAATACAGCTATACAAGGCTATATTAATTTTTGATAATGTATAATAAAACAAAGACTTTCTCTGGGTCTCTACCTGTCAGTGTCCCATCCCAATGTGCCATGAAGCCTTTTGCTGTCACACTGGAATCTGAGCGGAATTTGATCCAAAATCTGTTGCTATGGGAGATGAGAATAGGTGGAGGCTGCTCGCTGCAATACTTTCCTATCAAAGGGGATGTTTCATAGCCACCATCTCTGAAGAAAGATAAAAAAAACAGTATATTAAAGAGGCCCTGTAAATACTTTCCCTATAAGTTAAAATTAGAACCACTCAATCACTAACCATAACTTTATGCCTTGGCTCACAGTACAGACCCCTGTGGCCACACAGGCAGAAGGAGGAATTGTGGACTGACTCCTCCAAACCATCAACCTGTTGAGATATTCATCTTATCAACCATTGAGATATTCATCTTCTTTTACAATTGTAGGAGGCAATGCGCCCGGGAAGTTTCAGAAGTTGCTCTTTCTCTGTGAGCAAAAAGAAGACCCGAACCTACCTTGACATTTTACTGTCAAAATCCAGATTCAGATGTGATGTCAGCTCATCCTCATTTTAAGTTCATTTACACCTCGTTTAATGAAGTGAGACAGTTTCACTGGGTACAGTTATTTTGGAGTATCAGTGTACTTTAAGTTTATACAACTTATTTTCACATGAGCAAGCATTTTTTAAAAAAGACCCTTATTATAGACTGATGTCCAACATCACGGAAAGAAATTAAATAAACAAAGGCCTGATTTGTAATGTAGCAACAAGGTCGATCATTTCATTTAGAATTAAGCTGTATTAAAAAGTTCTAATAGTCTTTGTGTGCCTTGACCAAGCAGCCTGATGCCGTCTCTGTCTGTGTGTGGCTATAGAGGCCCCTCTGATAAGAAACATCGTAAAAGCTGTATCAAAATGGACAATATAATAATATATAGTGAAAATGGATTGTTGGTTTGTATTTCACCTCATCAATAAACTTAGACAGGGACAACGCCTACTTAGAATTAAGTGATATTAAGTATTTCTAACAATCTTGTGTCCCTGGACCAAACATCCTGTAGCCTGTCACAGGAATTTGTGTGTGAGCAAGTAAGGGAGATGAGCTAATCTTTCAGATAAGGATCTTTCCCAGGACAGTCCAGATCCATTGTCAATTCCCCTTAAAGATGGATTTCCACTGCTGGTGCCTAGATATCTGGTAGAGGGACATAGGCACATCTGGAGGAAATCCTAAAGGTCACAGGCCATGGGCAATCATCTAACAAGATGACCAACCAATCAGGGACCTGCAGTGTGTGGGTCTCCACTCTAAATGGTAGCTTACTGACAAAAAACAACTATATATTCCACAGTTAAAAAGCGGTGCATCACCTCTAATTTAGTGGCCCCTCTCTGTGCTAAAGCAACTTGGCGAACTGACAACAGAACCATGTGCCTTGCCACACTTGTTGTCTAAACTTTGGGACTTAAAATAATTCCCAAAGTGCTGAGTTAGAGAGCGAGCCCATGTTTAAAGACAGAATTCTTCCCTAAGTATAGCCTGCAGCAGGACCTTGTGACCAGCTAGCTACCACTGTGTGCTAGATATCACCAGAGCAATATGGTTGGAATTTTCATTGGCTACCCTGAATAAAGCATTATTCAACAGTAGCCACTACACTGGGAGTAAACTGAGTTTCTCCCCTTTTATGTGATTGCCTCCAAGTGAGCACTCATTTGCACAGAATTTGTCCCCAGTCAGACTGACCCAAACAATCTATTTGAGCGAATCAACTGTAAGCATGAAGCTACAGCAGGATCCTTCTCTCTCTCTGAGCCAGCAGAGCATGTATTGGACACTGCTGTGACAGACCCAATCAGCTGTTCCCCCATATTTCTGTGCATGAGTTACAAATGCACGGTTGTGGATGTGTATAACTCAATATTCACCCTCACGTTAATAAAACTGCTATATTAACACAGGTGAATATCAATTTCATTCATATTTATAGCTGTAGTTACTTACAAGTGCCTGACTGTTGATTATTTTGATGTACTGATTAGGAAGCTAGTACTAAATGTAGTGTTTTTGTTTTTATGTATCAACAAATGTATTCTGTGTGTTGTAATCCTTGTGGAGACTCCTTGTTGTTCTGCTGATGGATTCCTAGTAGTCAAAACAAAACTCACACAATTTACTGTTACAACTAAATATTGTGCCAGTAAATTCACAATATCTCCACATATTGTACTCTTTGTTTTTGTTATGTCATGTATGTCACACAGCTTTGTTAAGTGCCTTGGGGCAACCTTGTTGTGAAAAGCACTATATAAAAATAAATTGAATCGAACCAAATTTTGTTGGTATCCATTTGTTCTGAGCATATTCCAAACAAAAGCTACAGCACAAAACGAAGTGAGTTCTCGTTTTGTCTACCTTGTGGACACTAAGAAGACAAACTGCACAGACCGTTTTAAAGACCAAAATCAGCAAAACACTACCTTTGGCATAAAGTAGTTGCATGAGGCCAATGGAAGCCGCAAAGTAATGCAAGGAAAAAGTCTCTCTCTCCTCTGCTTCCACAGACAAGCTCAGCCCAGCTTTTTACCTTCAGTTTAGTTTAAGTTTTAACTCATCAAGGACGTTTGGACAACTGATTTTTTTCAGTAAAACGTAATTATTCACATCATAATTCTCAAGATTTGAACTCTTATTTCAAATGCACGTTTGATGTTTAGGTCACAATAGTAAATGCATATTAACTTGTGTCTGCAAATCATTTCACAGATACTGTTTATCCTATGACATTGTTGCTTGTTATGCAGGTTTTGGTTATATAAATAAATTGTATACTGTGTATTAAGAATCTGTGTGTGAGACTGATTTTCCTAATAGTTGTCAAGTACTCACACAATTTACTGTTACAATTTCTGATTGTTCTCATTGAATACAACACATCAGCTGTACACTATATGTACAAATGACTATACGGATATACATATGTAAAATAGAGCCTTGCCAATATAAAACATCTAAAAAACAATCAGACATCGGGAATTTACTGAAATAACCTGCAAATTGAAGCACATGCTCATGGAAAAATTACAACAGTACCATGTGATAAATCTCAGAAGCAAGCTCTGTATCTTTACCTGATCTCAATATAGTCATAGGAGCAGGGGGGATAAGGGCCTTCCAGCATGAAGTCAGTAAAGTTGAGCATGATCTGCCTGTTGGTCTCTACAATGATCTTGTATACACACTCTCTGTTCATGGGGTAATTATTTGGGTAGTTGGGAGACGTCAATGTTCCCGTAGGGGATGTGTACACTTCTGCACAGTCTGGGGGGAAAAATAGGAACACCTCAAAGACAGCACAAATTTTAAAAAGTTGCTTACCACATTTAAATTTATTTTCAAGAAATGAGTGGATAAGAACCTCCGATAAATTAGCCTTGTACAAGATGGGCCAAATGGCCTCCTCTAATTTGTAACTGTTCTTAAGTGCTTTGATTAAAAAAGTACAGAAATTTATAGACTAGTCTCTTTTTTTAAAACTCATGTAAGTTAAACTCCAATACATCCATCTCCAGAGGCAATGGAAATTGCAAATTGTTGCATTCCTTCTTATGTTGGTTATTCAATTACTGATTTTACTCTTTTTATAAAGCCAGCAGAAAGTACAAAGATCCTTTGTGGTGACTGGCAGACAGGACTTTGGAAAGTAAAACTGGGTTTTGGCGTGACTGTGTTTTTGTGTGCTAGGGTAAAACAGACCTCGGTCTAACATGAAAAACATCTAATTAAATTAGAAAATCGCTTTGAAACCCATCCAGTTCTCTTGAGCACATGAACACATTTCAGTTCTAATGCCCAGAAAGGCATCCTGTGATTTGTACTGTTACAGATTTTCATAGTTTTCCAGTTTTATAGTTAACAACAATACAATGCCACGATTACTCAACCTACTGTATATATAATGATATACTGAAATATATATATACCTACTGTATATATAATGATATACTGAAACATTTAATGAACCGATTTTATATTTTTATAAAACATCATAAGTGCCTTAACATTTAATTATTAATTATTTGAGCTAGATATTATGTGATGGATTTTTATCTGTGTCTTTTCCATATTAATAAATGTTCTTACTTATGAGTTAGAAATCACTCAATGATAATTATTACACCTAATAATAATGTAAAAATATGCACAAATGCTTTGTGAGGCTGCTCTTAATATCTCTAAACCATAAGTAATAGAAGCTCTTATAGCTTCTATTTCTCCATTACCAGCAAATGATGTTCAAAAAACATCAGCTTTGGAGATATCCTCAAGAGATGAAATCTTGAAAGTGGAACCAGCAGTTGTGCTTTATACAAATTTAAAACCTTGACAGGATTAGAAAAAAAGAAAAATATATAACTATGTTATAAGTAACAGTTATTTAAAATCCCTCAGAAGGTCACAAAGAAATTGTTTTCTTTTGTGGCACAAGAATATGTTTACTGTTATTAAATGTAATTAGATAACTGCTCGTGATCCAACTTAAAGAAATAAATTCCTAGTGTTTGGCATATTGTAACTGTTTATGCAAGAATACATTTTTTTAAATATACCAGTCGATATAATATCTGAAGTGCTGAGTTTTTTAAGTATTTGTTTTTCAAAATGCTTACTTGTCTTGAAATAATACCTTTCTAACTTTTTTTTAACCAATTTACATTCTATGATGCTAGACTAAACCAGAGCCCTGTTCACTATGTAGATTTTACTTTCTTTCTACTGAATGTAAGACACAGGCAACCCTAGTTATTGTTTTTTGTTCCACATGCAAGACATATTTCTTTTTAGTAAACAATTTGATTTCATTGACCACCTCATTAAACAGCAATTGAAGTCAACTCTATGCAGTAATTCTTTTGCATCACATTTAGTGAAATACAGAAAATGTTTATGAACTATCTTTTATGATGGTCACCAGTGCGTCACAAACAGTGTTATGAGGAGACTAGCATAGAACTGCCATTTTAAAATTATTAACATTGACTACTGTATTACAACTGTGACTAATCCCACAGTTTTTATAACACATACTTTACATGATCAATTGGAGCAACTGACAGATTACACCACAGTTCACCAAGAGCTACATATAGTGTAACACTGTAAGTGACAGGAAAGACTACAGTGTTTTTTTTTCTCACTAGCTGTGCTTTCACTTTTTGCCATATCTGCTGATGAACACTTAGTAGGGTGATACCTGTAGTGGCATTGATGGTCACATAGCCTGCAGAAAATCCCTCTGTAGCTAGGCTTGCATCGGAGACGAACAGGATAGTTAACAGGTTGTCTGTGCTTGTGAGTGATGGAGGAACTGATCTCCCGCAATACCTGTTTGAGACCATGTAAAAAACATACTGATTTTGTAGCCAAAGTAACAAAGGAAATACATGTTTTCAAAGCTGTGTGCTTCTGGTCTCCTCTTGCTTGTTTTTAGAATCTATAAATTCTTCATTCCAAAGAAAATCAATAATTTCAAATTGTTTAATGCAATAGATTTTCTCCTCACTGACTTTACTGAACATTTCCATAATTTGATAACATGACAATTCTTTGCTATTTGCTTAATATTCCCCAGTAGCCTATACTACCATCAGTTTACAAAACAAATCCAAAAGTGTTTAAAAATATATACTGTACATATTTAGCATACTTTATTTATGGTATCTAACTGTATTTATTTTCTGATTCTGTAATATAATGTTTAGAGTGCATTAAAAAAAACATGTAAAATAATCTTAGAATGAGAAACTTGACTGCTGCCTACTTATATTTTTGTAGTGAAATTATAAAATTATAATAATATTAAAATAAAAAAATACAGTATGTGGTCATTGACACCAGATTTTTGGTTTTTGTTGGAACAGAGTAATATAATAATAATAATAAACCTTATTTTATATAGCGCCTTTAAAGGTGGCTTTTCAAAGCGCTTTACAGGATGACAACAACAATAAATAAGAAGAATACACAAGATAAAACACAATTACAATATATAGAGGAGACCGTGGATGGTGGTACTAAGAAAAGCAGAGGGGTGAAGAATGGAACCAGTTAAGTAAAGGCTTTTCTGAAGAAGAGGGTTTTGAGTCTGGATTTGAAGGAGTTTAAAGAAGGTGACTCTCTGATATCCTTAAGGAGAGAGTTCCAGAGCTTGGGGGCATACCAGGAGAAGACCATGTCACCCATAAAATGTAGATGGGTTTGGGGGACAATAAGGAGAGCAGAATTAGAAGAGCGAATGTTGCAAGGTGGGGAGTAGGGCGATAATAGCTCAGACAGGTACTGAGGTGACAAGCCATGCAGAGCCTTGAGCATGAGAATTTTAAAGTCTACATGGAATTTGACTGGAAGCCAGTGCAAGGACTTCAGGATAGGAGTAATGTGAACATTTGCACTAGACATGGTCAGGATTCTGGTTGCTGAATTTTGGACATACTGCAGTTTGTTCAGAGTAGATTTAGATACCCCAGTGAGTAGAACATTACAGTAGTCAATTTGAGAGAATGCAAATGTGTTGATCAGCTTTTCAGCCACAGTTAGTGATAGCATAGGGTGTAGTCTAGCAATATTTCTGAGGTGAAAAAAAGATGTTTTGAGTAATGTAAAGTACCTTCCAAGCAGGGATCCTGTTGCAGTAGTGCCATTGTCATACACATCTACATAGTCATAGAGGCACTCGTGGTGATACTCCAGATTGAAGGACGTGAAGGACAGGCGGATGATGTGCCCTGGGGCAGCAGTGATGTACCAGGTGCAGTTGGCTCCATGTGGGTAATTTGTTGGGTGGCCAGGGCTGGTAACAGTGCCTGAGGATTCAGTAAGTGTCCCACCACAACCTAAATGAGATAACCAGAACCAGATCTAGCTGGTTAGTATGGAAAGAGCTGTTTCAGATCAAAAGGCATAGTCGGTAATTGCAGTACACATAGTTGTACAGAAACTAAGAATAGTAATACATAAATTGAACACTTATAACACAATAAAAGTAAAATGATCATCTTCAGATTATCAACGGCCATCCCAGAAAAAGAAAAAGGTAGAGATGATGGGAATGTTTCTGTTTTCTCCATTATCAGGGGTTCTTATACACTAATAACAAAAGGATTCAATGTGTGTGACAATAAATTGGATAAAATGAAGTGGCAAATCTGTAAATGTCCTCTAATGAATACCTATATTAAGGTGAAAGAAAAATACTGCAGTGGTTGATCATATTATTTTTTACAGTAGCTATTTTTTTTAACAATTGAAGTACTACCAACATAATACAGTTATCAATTACATTGTCAATTATGACATAATAGTCATAACAAGGTACTTTTACAGAACATCAGTGCAGCATAATATAAAACAGTATAAAACAAGAATATATTTTCATTCATCTTTTGTAAAAGTATTAGTGAATAATGAGATCAAAATGAGATGGGATGTCAGCTCTGTCCCACAGTCTAAGACAATCAGAGGCCCCTTAGCAGTACCTGCTTCAGCATAGTTGTACTCGGCAGTGAAGCCATGGTTGGTGACCGAAGAGTCAGTGTGGAACAAGATGAACATAGACCTCTGGGTTGACTGAATCAGACTGGGAATCTGCAGTCCACAATATCGGCCAAGCAGAGGGGAGCTACCTGTAGCGCCATCCCTGACCTTGGAACGGAAGCCAAAAGAAAGCCTGGTCACATTCAGCAGTATCAAAGACATGACAAACCCAAAGACAGAAATAATTTAATAAGATCTGAAGTATCTGCACAGTAGTTTATATCGTTTCCTCTGTTTTAACCATGCTTATTCCATCTTAGCTGGACCATGATTTCCCGCAGTGTATTAAACCGCACTTTATCACACTTTTCTTTACCATGCATCTACAATGCTTCCTTTGTAAAAGAAAAATCATCCATTGTACAGGAAATGGCATTTATTAAATTAAATTATTCAAAGATCTTTCACACATTCCACAAAAAAGGAACTTGGACTGGTAAAAACTATTTTAATTTAATGTTTCATTGATAGTGACCAGTGTAATATTAAAATTAACACATATACAGTAATCCATCCATAAACAAAACAGAGATGTGGGAAGGTCGCACCTGATATAAATAACACTAGTTTTGCAGTGACCTACCTCCACATAGTCAAAACCACAACTCGTTCCACTCTCAATGTCGAAGGAAAGAAAGTTGAGAGTGACCACATAGCCTGTAGGCTGGGTGATGACCCATTCACATCTCTTGTCATGAGGATAAGGGTTTGGGTGGTAGGGAGAACGAATTAAGCCTGAGCCAGAAAAGGTTCCTCCACAAGCTGTGGGAAAAAAAAAATCACTCTGTAACTCATTCTGCTTTTAACAAAGGCCATGTAAGAACATGTAAAGGCTCACCATGAGGCATAAAGAACACCTCACTTAAATATTTGACAAATATGTTATTTGTTATTTGGTTATTAGTACATGTTACCTGAAAATAAAAGAATTTTCACCTCCCCTCAGCAAAAGAGTTTAGAAGTGCTCACAAACCAACAACTGTACAATAGGCGCACACAGGATCTCAAGAAAGCACTGAAATTAAACCTGACATTCAGACACGGACTCCATGCCTTCATGTCAAGTCTACATTTAAAAAGAAGAGTTAATGGAATGGCATACAGATCTGCTTGACAGCATTATGGTCCTACAAACATAATGTAGGACACTGAGCAGACCATTACGAAAATATGACTTAATTTTACAATCTCACAGCTCATTCCAACTGAGAAATAAAAAGCAGTGTTTTAATAAATAAATAATACTTACTAAACATTAAATTCAGTAGGTAGAGGAACAGAGACATTTTTGTATTTGTAATGTATTTTGTGTAATTTTTGTGCCTATGAATGAGTGCAGACTACTATTCTTCTTGAAAGAACATGGTATTTAGAAACTGAATTTTAAAATGAGGAATTACAAAGAATCTTTATCTTTTCCCTTAAGAGGCAGCCCATTTGATAATATGGTTACCAAAAGCCAATAAAACCTGCCTCTTACAACATTTGACAGGATGTGTGATAAGAAGATATAACTGTATTTTAAAAAACAGCTGAATTCAGCACAGTGCTATCAGAAATGTTAAATCTCACGTTAAAGGATTCGGTTCACCATTAGGTAACCTGGTACCAGACTGGCACATTGCCCTTTTCCTTAACCAGCACTGCCAACACTGTGGCCCAATGCGCTGACTGGTGACAATGACTTCAACATAGAAAGGTTCATTTAGACTGCTTTAAAAAAATGTCACAGTGATAAACAGGATGTGATACTGAGCAAGATGTTATCGGCTTGGGGGCATGGCAACAGCTCTCTACTCCACCAGTTCTCTGCACAATTCTACTCATCAAACCCAGCTGAATGAATACGCACACTACCTTACAAAGCTGGTTTCTGCTCTTTTAATTGTTGCACAAAAGAAGCTTGCTCATTGAATTTCCTTAGCACCAACACCTGAACTATTGGTATTAGCTTTTGATTTGGGCTTATAGTGCAAAACTAAAACTATTTTTTCTGTTTTTGCAGGACAGGAAATTTTTAACTAACTTTTGAGTCAAGTTTGAGTTTGGGGCTCAGTTAAGAAATTAACTGGAAACAAAAGACCAATTTGGTCTGGATGTCCAGATTTTAAGTAGGAAATCTCAAGATTTACGAAAGAAAAAACTTAAAAAACAAAAGTTGGAGGAATTTACTTCAAAAGGAGAGGTTAAAAGCCATTTAACTGTACCTGTACCTTATTTAAACAAAGGGATAAATTGTTGTATTGGAGAGTTGAAGTGAAAGATTTGAATTTTGAACTTCTTACACTGAATAAGAAAAGTAAGATTATAGATGTTAATATATTAAACCAAATGTTTATACCTCATAATTTCTCATCAAAAATGATAATATGGCTGTAATATTCCCAGAGATTTTGGAAGAGTCATGGACAAACATTTCTGTATACTTTGTATTGTGGGTGATGCAAGATATTTCGTCTTTTTCTAAATACAGATGTTAAAAAAAATGATTATTTTAAACAAGCACAAAGGCAATGTGTAAATGATGGATAAATACATTAACTGCTGAGGAAAAAGTGAGTCTGTACAGTGGCTGATAAAATGTTTCAATCTCTCACCAACTTGATAAGTCGCTCGGAATCCACCTCTTGTCACAGAGGCGTCAGACTTGAATCTAAGCCACAGAGCATTCGAAGTGGATGTAATGGGAGCTGGCAGGGAGGAGCCGCAGTATTTGCCAATTAGTGGGTCTGTTTCCAATGACCCATCTCGAACCTGCAAATGGCAAAACACCAGGGCTTTTTATACAGTAGATAAATTCAGGACTGGAACTTGGAAATGAAGAAACAGACAGACTTTGTCAGAACAGCTATGAATGGGCAACCAACTGAGTCCCAGTTCGCTGCCTTGTTAATATAAAGTTCAGGTGGGTAGCTGCCCTGTCTCTCTTACACCTGAAGAAGGCTCCACGGCCGAAACGTTGTGTTCTCTTTCTTCTTTTTTTTCAGCATGGAATAAACCTATTACTTGTTCCTTTATTAATATAAATATATAAATGTACTGTACTTGGTGTTGCAACCAGGTACTTCTGATTTTACACTTATATAGCCACTATAAATGAAAAATGAGAGAACCAGGAAATAACACCTTTATACTTCCTACGGAGATCTCCTCATCTTCATCTTACATTTCTATGAGTTTTGTTCCAGAGTGTGCCATGACAGCTGCAATTTTATACTTGATTTTTTTACTAAAATTGATCTTTTAAAACTTTTCTAAATAATTAATATGTTTATGTATAGTGACTATATGGACATGCACTGCTTCAGACTTTTCATTACATTACTGGCCATGTGTAAAGGGTTTTTAACATGCCTGACTTCTTCATTTCATTACTCTGGATTCTTGTCATGAGCTCATTAGGAAATTCAGACATTAAGTAAATAACAAACACCTACTGTTTACACCTACTGGATCTGCTTTTGTTTTGTTACCATGGAGTTCCAGTCATGATTCATGGTCATGAGGACAGGGGAAAGCACTCTCACACAGACATTCATCACAGCCCCAAGACCCTCCCCCTTTCTAATAAATATCACACTTTCTTCCACTTTTGGAATGCTCGGTAAATTTGAAAATATTTATGTTTTTTTTTAATCTGGTATTTTTTAAACCTTTATCTGGTTTAATGTATTTAAATCTTATGGCTTCTTTATAGTTCTTTAGTTTTGCAAGCAGAGTGGATTAATTGTATGTTAAGTTTGAAAAGATTTATGAGAAAGCAATAATCAAACAGGATTACTTTTAAAAACAACACTGAAGACACTAGAAATTGCTTTGCATTGCTAGAAAATGGCAAAAGAAAACTCAATATAAGTGTTACAAAGTTAGTTGGTCTATTCAAACAATTGTATTCTGAACTGTGCACCACAGAGCAAAGAAACTGGGCCAGTTATATAATGGGAATATAATCCCAAAGATCATCAATAGTGGACAGTAAACATCTACATGCTGCAGTGCACCTTCTTCCATAAATCCACAAACACTGAGAATGCCTAGTATGACCATGGTAGGATAGATTCTTTTTCAAAGGAAAACATCATTAAATGGAGAAAATCTTAAGATATTATTTTCATAATTATAAACAAATACATTTGTACAGTATCTTATCATCATAATGTAAAGTAAACACAATGCACACATTGTAAATTCTTGTTCTTTACATTAAACACAAAACACATATTTAAACACAAACACATATTTTAAACAAGACAACTGATAATACATTTCTAAATAATTAAATATGAAATACTTCATTTATACTAATACAAATCTTATTTTTGCCATTTATCTAAATTAAAAGACTCAATCAACTATGTAGGCCTGGGCAGTAACAAGTCCTGCCAGCCAGCTGATTTACAATTACCGATGGCAGCCCACTCACTGCAGACTTTACTGCAGCTTGGCCTTTTAAACACACAGCTACCATTACTAAAGCACAATGGCTCTTTTATTTTGATTAGCTGAAGCCTGTCCCGCAAGCCTGCCAGCCTTCTCATTTCATGTTCCACCCGTGCTTTCTGAGTCCAGAAGAATGTATTGTTGTATTAGTGTATTCGTTTAGTCAGAATTCTTTATTTTTCATTATTGTTTTATCAAGATTTGATCAATATTCACACATTTTCTACTCATCACAGAGAGTGTAACACAGTGCTTTTCAAAGGCAGAAATGTGTTTTCACACTTCCAGATACAAATACAAATGCCCAAAAGAAGTGCAGAGTCCATGTTACCAATATACTATGGCCAGAGGCTGGCAAGAATCCTCTGCAAAGATGTGAAAAGACTATTATATACTGTATACTGCACACTGAGAGACATTAAAAACACAAAAAAACACTACTATTCCAAAATGCATTTATTGTGTTTTTAAAGCCTCTTAGTATATATTGTAAGTGCTGTCTGTTTCAGTCATTCTGTTTCATATAAAAGTCTACAACTTGATATCCCAAAACAATCTATGAAAACTGACAGTTGAATTTATAAGATCTCTGACAGACCGTTATGGGAGAGACCTCCCATAGAAAAAATAAGAATATGTAATGTGGCTCATTTAGACATCAAAGTTTTTTTGAAAATTTTAAGATTTTAAATTATTTAAAAATTATTGTTCTGTATTCCATGTAAGGGAACACAGTACTGTATGTGAAGTATGAAGTGAATTTATACTAAAAAAACTAGTTTGCACTTAAAATACAACAAGAAAATCAGCAAACACCAGCATCCTGGGATAATATACAGTAGTACAAAAAGACACTGTACTCCACAGATGGAATGAAAGAGTTAGGAGAAAACTCAGAATTTGCATCCCATGGGGCTAGACCACAAATGCTGCAGCCAGCTGAAAAACTTGCTGCATGTTTACTGCTTATGGACTTGATAGGTTCTTGTTTTTAAACAATTGTCATTGAAAAACTTGAAAAAACAAAGCAATTAAATATAAAAATAGAGCTTGATCTATTTATTTAAAGACCTAGTTTCTGCCCAACTGAGATGAAGTACTGTATGTCTCACATCAGTTTGAGAAGGATTCAAATCATCATCTTTCAGACAGCAAGGCAAAATCAATGCATAATGCACAGAAATTTGAACATGTATCTCTGGCCTACTATAGGATGATATGCCCATATCCATGCCTGTTTAAGTCTTGTTCCTTAAAACATAATTTGTCTGGTGTTATAATAAAGTTTCACAATGCTTGAACTTGTATTTGACATGCCAGGTTAGATTCAGGGTTGCAGATAGAGTATACCTGCAATATATCTATAGTATGGGTATCCTTTGGATAATCTCTCTAGTGTCTGTACAAGCCAAGTATCTTCCATCTACAAAATATCTGTCTATGTACTTCAGCATAGTTAAACAAAGGTGTAGACATTCACAATTTTATTATTTTTGCCTTGTTCAGTAAATTCCCTGGTCATCTGAAGTTACTGGTAACCAACAAATAATAAGCCTACTTAGGCTAATTTTGAGCTAGAGTGGAAATATGTACCTTTTTTATTTTCAAAGGCTGAGCTTTCAATCTCTACAAACCAAAAATTATAAATATAATAATACCATAAGAATATATAATAATGTCTATTCATCCAACTATTTCTAACCACTTCATCCAATTCAGAGTTACAGGGGAGCCGAAGCCTGTGTACCCGAAAGCAACAGGTGCAAGGGAGGGTACATCCTGCATAGGACACCAGTTCATCACAGGGCAGAATTATAACCCTCACAACAAGAGACAATTTTCATAGAAGCCAATTAAACTACAACTGGATTTTAATGACTGTGGGAGGAAACCGAAGCAGCCAGAAGAGACAACCTGAACATAGGGGGAACATACAGATAACACCTAATGTCTGGACTTGAACCCAGGGCCCAGTGCTAGGGCAGCAATGCTAAATACTATTCCACTGTGCCGTCCCATTAATGTCTATAATAAAATAAATTCTGACAGAAATAATTTCTTCAAATTAGATTTTACTTCTGTAGTGATAAAAGTGCCACTACATTCTGACTGCTTGCAAAGAATCACCGCAGTTTTGCAGAATATGTCAGCACCATTGTGCTTTATTAAGCGCATTAATGATTAATAATATTATGAAGGCGGCTCCACAGCCAAAACATTGTGTTTCCTTACTTTTCTTTTCAGCATGGAATAAACCCGTTACCTGTTCCTTCGCAGTTTACGCTGCTGACGCAGCTACCTACTTGAACTACGTCAAAATAATAATAATAATAATCGGTTTAGCCTGGTCAGTACCTGGATGGGAGAACTCCTTGGAAGCTATGGTTGCTGCTGGAAGTGGTGTTAAAGGGACCAGCAGGGGGTGCCTTCCCTGCAGTGTGTAGGTCTTAATGCCCCAGTATAGTGGACGTTAAACCAAGGTCCTGACTCTCAGTCTCTGTGTATTTCTCGATAAGAGTAGGGAGCTATTCCGGTGTCCGGGCCACATTTCCCCCCTCGGCCTTTATTGTGGCCTCCAAATTGTCCCTATGTATGATTGGCTTGCACTTGCCCTGCAATGGACTGATGCCCCGTCAATGGTGTACCCTGCCTTGTTGCTTGCCAGGTAGGCTCCGGCTTCCCGCGACACCATATGGTATAAAGTACTTCGGCAAATGAAATGGAATAATTATTATTATTAGGAAGAGTAATGTTAATGTAAGAAGAATAATTAAATATATAATACATATTTTTAAGAAATACAAGTATCCTACAGATTTGTATGCAGAAATAATTGATTAATCAATATTTACAAAATATTAAAATACTGTGTGTTTCGTTTTAATAAAGTTAGGAATTGCTGACTAAATCCAGTTTACCTCAACATAATCGAAGGCACAGCCACTGTGAGATTCCAGGTCCATGTTTGTGAAGTTGAGAAAGACAATCTCATTGACTGGCTGTCGGATGACATAGATACATTGCCGGTTATTGGCATAAGAGTTTGGCCAGTTAGGGGAAATGATGACTCCCTCACTGTTAGTGTATGTGCCTCCACAACCAGGGTCAGCTGAAACACAAACATAAAAAAGCACCAGATGTTTACAGCTTCCCTCAGCACTGCATCATATTTCCATTTTCTAATAGGTTAGGTCAAGACAATTTGGACACTATACAGACACTAGACAGTATGTCACCTATAGAAAAGGTCAGAGGCTAATAGTGCTCTCCAGGGACAGATTACATACTCCTTTGCAGAAATTAATAAGACTACTAATTGCTGCAAAAGGTTTGCTGCTGAGTTTATTACTGTAATGCTGTAATGCTGACTAATGCTGGCATCCACCTTCCATGCCTGTCTAGTAATGATTCTGGTAGAAACTAGACAGAAGGTTTTGTGCCAAGATGTGTACTTCTGAAGTTCCATGAAGCTAAGGATGGCTTGTAGGTAGCATTCAATGACACATTATTTTAAATCTGGTTTCTTTACACTCACTGTGTAAAATACAAATTAAAGGCAGTTATGAATAACATTTGATCTCACTGTTCTCTAGTTTTTGAAGCACTTTGGAGAACAATTATATCTTATTATATCATCTTGTAACCAGATTTTGTCATCGTACCTTTATAATGCCAACTTCTCTGCCTTTACAGTATATTGCAAGACTTTACAATAATACAAAAGGTGAGCTCAGCCGTATTTTCTGCAACTGCCCAGAATGTTCACATTCACTGATGGTTCACCACCAGTAAACAAAAATGTATTTTCTTCATAATTACTATAATAGAATTGTACAGTCAATTAAACTACTTCCAAAGAAAACAAATAACAATTCATATATATATACTGAAATGTGAAAGAAGACATTGAGTGTACAGCTGTATATGAAATTTGAAACACAAGCCCACAGACTTTGGTACAGTAGCTTGATGTATAAATGGAAATTGACATGGTGCACAATAAATCAAGATTAAAATTACCTCTATTTTTTGCTTGAGTTATAAAGATGTTCATTACCCATATTTTTAGGTTTGGAAAAGTTTGAAACAAGAGGTATAATTTGCTTCAAACAGTAGAAGGGGCTAGTTGCTTTTGGAAATAAGATTTCATTGCCTCTCATTCATTGATGTATGCTAGGGTGCCAAGGGTACCCATCTGATCTGAATTTGCTGGGTATTACAAGGGAGAGCAGTGTACTTCCTCAGGGTCAAGGCAAAGCGCATTGAATCCAATCCCTCATGTCATCTCAATACTTAAACTAGTATGCTAGATGTCAATCACTCAAAGGGCTGATGAGTCAACACTCAGCACACCATCAACAACAATCCTACTACTCACTCTGTGAAGGAAACTAGGACAGTTTTTTGCCTATGAGCAAAACTTCTTCTGATTTTCTGAAAAGTAATCATTCTTTGCTGTGAAAAACCCACTTCTCCTACATCTGGCACAAGCAAACACTGTGTTAGACAGTAAATTGTACTGACATGGTGATGTTGTGTAGGTGATGTGGAATCCTCGGTCAGACACAGTGAAGTCTGAGTGGAAATGGATCCAAGCAAGTGGTCCCGTGGTCTGCAGTGGAGGTGGAGAGACACTGCTGCAAAATCTGCCAAGCACTGGATCTTCTGGCAGAAGGCCATCCCTTATCTGTCAAACAATAAATGTGTGTAAGGGTTACACAGCACACAAAACCAATACGGTCCATGGTCCTTGTGGTGCACATGGGGTAAAATCCTTTCGGAACAAGACTGGCCAAATGGTGGACAGCAGAGCTGCTTATCAAATAAACGTAATCAGAATAAAAACTCAAAATGTGCATTTACATTTTCTGGTTTTACAAAGTGATCAAGGAAAAACGTCCTTCCTAGCTTTTCCAGGACATGACGACCTATGTCTCCATTCACTTTTTCTTTGTGGAAACAGAACATTCACGTTTTCTAAACGACTACTGTGATGACAAAAGTAGAGCACTCAACCTTGTTTGAAATGTTTTAGAAATACTAATCATCTTAAATGATAAATGAGAGCTTGTGAGAGCATGTGAGCTTGTATGCCTCATGTGAGTGATGAAAAACAGATCACAATTAAACAAAATGAAAAAAAAAAACATTTTAACCCGTAGTGTATCACGTTCATACAGTACACAAAAAAAACACAAAGCAAAATATTACATTAACTTTTATGTACAGGATGATACTACATATACTTAGTTATAACAAAGATAAATGTAGTATGCAAATATAATAAAGTTAAGGTGGGGTTTTTTGCTTGTGTTTTTCAGGTATTTCAAATAATAAAAAGACACCATCCAATCATCTATCCATTTTCTAATCACTTTATCCAGTTCAGAGTCAAGGGGAAGCTGGACATCTTCAATCGGATGCCGGTCCATTGCAGGGAACTGACACAGACACAGACAATCATGCACACAGTGATACCAGGGCCAATTAATCTACCAGCATGTCTTTGGACTGTGAGAGAAGACTGGAGCACCCAGAGAATCCAAGTGTACAAGAGGAGGACGTATAAACTCCAAGCAGATAGCACACCAGGTCCAGAACAGAACCTTGTTGCAACTAAGTTCATCTCTGTGCCAAAGTGCCATCCCACTAAAAACAAACATTTAAAAAAATACTTTTGATCATAGTTTTTCTAAAATCTGCTCCTAAACCTTTGGTGTAAATTGAGATTCACCTCAAGAAAGTCAAAGTTGCAGTTATCATGATGTTCCAGACTCAGAGTCCCAAAGGCAAATGTTATGAGAAGTCCAGGGTTCACTGTCACAGTCCAGTAGCAGTCCCTGTTCGGTGGATAGTTTCCAGGGTACCCAGGGGAAGTAATAGAGCCATATGTACTCGTCATCTCTCCACCACATTCTGAAAAAACAAATTACATAAGGATAGGAAATGGCCTTCATCTATATATTTTTTATAAATTAAAGCTGAATTCATAGGCTTTAAGAAACTTAATTTTATTATTAAGAGTTTTGGTGTTGATTCTGTCTCAGATTTAGGTATAAAAAGTTGAGGTGAGGTGTGCGTTTTAAAAGTTAAAATAGTTTCACATCTTACTCTTGGAAAGACAAAATCTATCAGGTTTTATAGGCAAATTTAAAAAAAGTTATTTATGCTAACTGGGATCAATATGAAATGTTCTGAACATTTAGCATGTAAGTGATATGAATACAAGAGACAAACACTGGGCTTGGAAGGCTACAGATAAAATGGGCAGTCCATTATTCCATATTGTCTCTTAATTGCTAACCTGGAGAAAAAATTCTGTTTACACAGTCAATCAGAGATAATTCCAAATTTTAACAAGATTGTTTTATAAAGTGGTAATTTAAGGGTAGATTCTGTTTGTCAAAGACCAGAGATGGTTAGTCCAGAGTTTTTTAATCAAATGGGCTTGAGATGGTAATGGTATTTTCTCTGGACATGGTGAAACAGGGATCTTATGTGTGTGCTGGAATATTGTTTTCCAATTAAAGGTTAGATACTGTTAGTAAGTAATTTATTTCTTAACCCAAAAACTATTTTTTTTTTCATTCCATCTAATTACCAGCTTAGGAAAAATTACAACAGAGTTCTTTAAGTGGGACTTCTGCCATATTTTGTGCCTCATCAAAAAGTAAATTTACTATATGCCAACAATTTTTAATCAGATGAGATAGTCACACATGAGATAGTCACTCTAATGATTCTAGGATTTATCATAAAACATTACCAAGTTGTCTTTTGTTTCTGTAGCTTTGTCTCCATACAATATTCTGAAAAATGCTGGTACTGTGATGGTACTTCTGAATGGAGCACTTATATAAATTATGTTCCAAACTCAAACCACATCATCATAGGTTAAAGGTCCTCATTCTTATTGGTCTCAGTACTGCTTTCGACACTGTCAACCATGAAACCCGTGTTTCAAGTTTCTGACACTGTTCTCAGCTAGTTCAAGTTTTACCTCATTGATCACTGTCACTTTGTCTCTCTTGGCGGATTTAGGTTTGAAATTGGACTCATTAAGTCTGGTGTTCCTCAGGGCTCAATAGTAAGCCCCCCTACTTTTCGGCATTTACATGTTTCCACTTGGTCAGCTTTTAAAGTCACATGGTCTCAACTATCATTTCTATGCTGATGATACTCAAATCTACATCCATATCAAGCCCTAGACTTATGTGGCTTTCTCCATTCTAATTGCATCTCCGACATCAAAACATGGATAACTCAAAATTTCCTTCACCTAAACTGTGACAAGTCATGCTTATTGGCACCCCCCATCAACATATTGTGCAACATATTGTCAAAACATCTTTCTTTCACCTTAGAAATATCACTAGACTACGACTTACTGTATGTTATCGCTAACTGAGGCTGAAAAGCTGATCAACACATTTGTCTTCTGCTGTAACGTTCTACTCGCTGAGGTTTCTAAATCCACATTGAACAAACTTCACTATGACCAAAATTTGCCAGAATCCTGACCAGGTCTAGTGCAAGTTATCACATTACTCCTATCCTGGAGTTCTTACACAGGCTTCCTGTAAAGTTTCATGTTGACTTCAAAATCCCCATGCTCACCTATAAGGCTCTGCATGACTTGGCACCTCAGTACCTGTCTGAAGTACTATCATCCTACTCCCCACCTAGCAAACTTTACTCTTCTAATTCTGGTCTCCTATCTGTCCCCTAGTCCCGTCTACACTATGGGTGACAGGGCCTTCTCCTGTTATGCCCCATATCTCTGGAACTCTATGCCCAGGGATATCAGAGAGTCACCTTCTCTAAACTCCTTCAAATCTACACTCAGACATTCTTCTTTAGAAGAGCCTTTCCTTAACTGGTCTGCACAGTATGAGCACAATATTACTATTTCTAAACAGGTATTGAGTTCTAAACATTTCTTTTTTTCTCAGTGAAAAGATAAAATGGAAATACAAATGTTTTCAGTTTAAAAACGTGTTAGCCTAACAGTAAATAACTTTTTAATGATGGAAAATATGTTTGGCTCAGTCAGCATAGCAACAATCAAAAGGATGAATTTCCTGTTAAAGGTCAGAATATTTTACTGTCCACTATCTAGAGAGGAGAGTAATTATTCCAGAATAATTCACTGTCTGGTATTTGTCCTATTTGTCCTATTTGTCCTATGTCAGGACCAAATGTCAGGAGAAACTAATACCAGGATCTCTTGACTCCCAGGCTACAGTGAAGCCCCCAGCGCTGACCGAGTGGTCAGAGCGGAACCAGAAGTACAATGAGTTGTGGGAACTGAAGAGTTCAGTCGGGACATTGGTGCCACAGTATCTGCCAATCATGAAGCCAGAGGCTGACTCTCCATCATGTATCTGCAGGAAGTCATAGTTGCAGTTGGCGCTGTTTTCCAAATCAAAATGTGGGAAAGTTATCCGGAGAACCTGGAAAAAGAGAGTATCCATCAGATTCACAGAAGACTTTGTGCTGAGCAAGTTAGATGCCAAAGCTTGTAGTTTTGTTAAATATCAGTGACATCAGGATGAGGGACCCTAGAACACCCAGAATACAGCTATATGTCAGAAAGGAGAAGTGGCTCACAAAAGACAAAATTTCTAAATGCATATTCCAGAAGACTGAATTTATGTAAAACACATTTAATAGTAAACATACTTACTCGTTTAGTGAGACCCATTTGAAGAGTTTGTTCAATAAAATTCAAGAAGTGATTAAATATCATCACTCTCCTAGGTGTTAAAGTCTCTTGCAGCTCCAATGAGCTCTGGATTACAAGGAATGGAACTAACCTTGTCCGAATCAGTACGGACCACCCAGGCACAGCTGACTTGATGATCATACTGATCATTTCCAGGAAAATTGGGATAGCTGAATGTCCCAGCCACTGCTGTGAGGTATCCCCCACACACTGGAGCACACAACAAAGTCAACAATTAATTGCAATCAAGAATCCAGTACAAAAGAAAACTTCAGACTTTGGATGGAGATAGTAAATGTATTCAGCCTAAACTTGTATCTTGATTCAATTTCTGTTGAGTTATTTTAATAACACAACTATGAGTTGCACATTTAGTATTAGACTCTTTTACATAATTTTTCTAAAAATGACATCATTGATTTTAGCAAATTCATTCTTAAAAATACCCTGATCTTATAAGGCCTTAACAAAAAAAGATTTATTTGAAATTGTTGGCAACGGACACTTTACATTTCTCTATTAGAGCTTGTGAGAAAGATTAATTATTTGGCAGCAGGACTATTCAAATTAGAAACGTAGATTTTAAAATGGCTTTGTCAAACATCAACCAGTATAACACTGCTCTGTGTCAATCCTTTAACTCCAAAGTCAATAAAACATTTTCATGCACCTTGCTGTGGTGTTTGGCACTGCAGGCCCATCCAGTGATCAGTGCAGGTGCAGGTGTATCCATTGATGCCATCAACACAGGTGCCTCCATTCTGACACGGATTGCTCACACACTCATTGATGTTTTCTGTGCAGTTCACCCCTGACCAGCCTGGGTCACATGTGCAAATGTAGCCAGTTGTGGTACTCTGGAAAAGGAAAACAGATCAGATGAGGAAGAACTAAGAAAAACATTACTCAGCCTTGAAAGAAAGCATTTTTAACTCATATCTACACCAAACACCCACCCATTACAGGATAACTGCTTATACCTGGTAGGGATTGCACTGGTCGATTGCAAAGCACTAGGATAACACCCCACACACTCATCAACACATATGGACGCACAAAAGAAACACCTATTAACATAACTGGCATGTCTGTGGAAGGTAGGAGGAAACTCCTAGAGAAAAACCCACATGACTTAATAAGAATAAGGAAAATACCTGCTCTTCTAGAACTAAACCCTGGACCTCCCATTTGATGCCTCTTCTTTTTTGTTCTTTTTTATTTTATTTCTAAAATTAATGGTAATTGGATTCCAGAAGACATATTAGACAATACAAAGAGAGTAAAAGATTAAGATATAAAGAAGAATTTGAAACTAACATTTTAGTCATTATCAATGTTTATTTAACTTTAATTTTCCTATTTTGCAGATTCGTCACTCAAGGAACATTAAACTTGAGCAAAGTGCTCTGGAGGAAATCAATTAGACAAATTATTCTTTGAGCAAATGACAAAGAAGCAATCAATATGAATTATAAAGACTACTGTGCCATTTTCTTTGCAGTTCTCACATACCGTATCTCCGTCTGGTCGATTTTTAAGCCACCCAATTAACTTGAACCGTGAATTTAGCCAGCACTAAATGCTGATCAATCACTGATCTTATCAGATCAACCAGCCCATTAAAAACATTCGCTGTGGCAGTCCTGAATTTAACAGGGAAGTGACCTTAGCAGATTTCACTATAGGCAAGGCTTTAAAATCAAGTTTCCAGTGGGTTTCATTTGGCAAATGCAGAATGTGTACACTCACCATGCACTGTCCATTTACACAGGGACTGTGACTTTGGCAAATGTTACTGATAGGAGTGCAGCCAGCCGGCCCATAACCATTCCCAGCATAGCCAGGAGGACAGGTGCAGATAGGGAGGAGGCTTCCTATAGAGAAATGATGAGTTCTGCTTCAGTCCAGACACTGGATTTTACATTTGACATCTCAAATGTTAGCACCAGTTGTTTGTGCATAGTCCATTTTCCTTGTCTCTATAACTTTCATTATATGAAAAAATAACCATTTAATTATTCTGTTTAACTGCTTATACACATTTTTCAGTATTTCTCCAGGTATATATTTCTGCACACCACAGAACTATCTGTTTTATGAATGAGATAGAAGAGGACAAACTGCTTTGTGGGTGCTCAGCTGTTAGGCAATTATTCCCAAGGAAAATAAATAAATAAAAAAGATTTTAAAAGCCAACAATGCCACTAACACCAAGGGAGAATGACAACTTGAAGAGCAGACCAGAGGTTCTGAAGTCTGGTCTTGCAATACCACAGTGTCCTTTGTATTTTTAACTTGAACTTTATTGCCATATGTAACCAGTACATGTACTTGCACAATTGAATTCTTACTTACAGAAAGTCTCTCGATTGTTAAAAAAAGTGTAAAACACAAAGTGCAGACAGTGCATCTAGACAATATACAAACAAAAAGTAGACAATGTACAAGTAAACAGTTTGAATGTAAACAATGCAGACATGTAAACAATGACTGCAGATGTGCAATTAATAAAATTATAATGAGATAGATGGTGTAGGTGTGGTCTGAGGGGCATGGCCAAATGTGTTCACCAATCGCACTTCATTACTCTTCAATAGCTTCTGCTTGTGGGTAAAAGCTATTGAAGAGTAATAATTAATAATAATTGCTTACACTTATAAAGGACTTATATATAGGACACTCCGCTCAAAGCACTTTACAGGTAATGGGGACTCCCCTCCACCACCACCAATGTGCAGCATCCACCTGGATGATGCGACGGCAGCCATAGTGTGCCAGAATGCTCACTACACATCAGCTATCAGCGGGGAGGAGAGCACAGTAATGAAGCCAATTCATAGATGGGGATTATTAGGAGGCCATGATTGGTAAAGGCCTATGGGAAATTTGGCCAGGATGCCAGGGTTACACCCCTACTCTTTTCGAGAAACACCCTGGGATTTTTAATGACCACAGAGTGTCAGGACCTCGGTTTTACATCTCATACGAAGGACATTGGCTTTTCACTATACTGGGGCATTAGGACCCACATAACATTAACAGCTCTTCCAGCAGCAACCTTAGTTTTTCCCAGGAGGTCTATCATCCAGGTACTGACCTGGCTCACACCTGCTTAGCTTCAGTGGGTTGCCAGTTGTGAGTTGCAGGGTGATATGGCTCCTTGCTCCTGGCAAAATCTGGTGTTAAGTGTCCGCATGCTCATGTATCTCTTGCCTGAGGGCAGTGGGTAAAGAGCTCATGCCCGGGGTGGTGACTATCCTCTGTGATGGCCATACTTCTACCATGGTAGCAGTCCTCATAGAGCTGTTTAATCTCTGTGAGACCACAGCCGATGATCTTCTGGGCCACATTCACAGTTCTCTGCAGTGCCTTTCTCTCTTGAGAAAAGGTGTTGTTGTACCAAACGGTGATCCTGCTGGTGAGGAGGCTCTCTATCGTGCAGCGGTAGAAGTTCACCAATACAGGTACTGGCATCCACCATCGCTTGAGGCACCTCAGGAAATAGAGGCACTGCTGGACCTTCTTCAAGATAATGTCCATGTTCACAGTCCAGATTAGGTCATTAGAAATGTAAATTCCCAAAAACCTAAAGCTGGTGACTGTTTCCACTTCGGTCCCATCAATGTTAAGTTGATGGACTGTGAATATGCGGCCTATGCCTCTGAAAGTCCACTATTAGCTCTTTTGTTTTACTCACGTTCAAGTCCAGTTTATTGTTGTGATACCACCTCAGCAGGATGTCCAATAGCCAATTACAGACGGAGCTGCACAGTCCTAGAACCCTGAGCTTTGTCACCAGTTAGCTGGGTATGATGGAATTGAATGCTGAACTGTAGTCCACAAACAGCATTCTCACATATGAGTTCTTAGTGTCCAGGTGTTCCAAGGCTGTATGTAGAGCTAGGGAGACAGCATCATCCACTGGTCTGTTGTTCTGGTAGGTGAACTGCAAGGGGCCAAGGGACTCCTTGATGAAAGAGTTGATGTGTGACAACACCAGCTTCTCCAGGCATTTCATTACCACAGATGTTAATGCTACTGGGCAGTAATTGTTCAGGCACGTCACTTTTGCCTTTTGGGGGAGTGGAACAATGGTGTTTTTTTAAGCAGGTGGGGACAATGGACTGTGACAGGGAGGAGTCAAAGATGTCTGTAAACACTGTGGTCAGCTGGGCTGCACATATCCTGAGAACGCAGGGTGGTATCCCATCAGGCCCTGCAGCCTTACAGATTTTCACCCTACTCTGGGTTTTCTGCACGTCCTGCTCTGAGAGTTTCAGAACATACTTGCCCTGTAGACTTGGGGTCTTTTCAGCAGTTTTTTATTCCAGATAACCTCTTTACTCCTGAGGCTTAATGAATGCTTAACCAAAAATCAAATGACCTTTTTCAACTTTTTTCTATGCTCACTCAAACATGCTTAAGCTGTTACCAAGCAACCAAACACTCTTAGAAGACTGGTCAGTCTGTCCTCACCTTGTTTACAAACGTGTCCTCCTCCATTTGGCTGAACTTGTAGAAACTATACTGTAAAGGAACACGTAAAAAGGTTATTCCATGCTGAAAAGAGAAGAAAAGAAACACAACGTTTCGACTGTGGAGCCTTCTTCGTCTTCACACCCGAAGAAGGCTCGACAGCTGAAACACTGTTTCTTTTCAGCATGGAATAAACCTTCACTTGTTCCTTTGCAGCCTACGCATGCTGACACAGCTACCTACTTGAACTATACTGTGCCACTAGATGTGCCTACTGATGTTACGTTAGTGTGCTGTTAATGTTACATACATAACAAGCACTATTAATTCTTCACAAGAATGTGTCCTTAAATTGCACCGAGTTGTTGAACAGTGACAGTCCACATAATGTATGGGATGTGCAGAAACTCAGTGCTTAATGCAGAGGTACAGTAAATCTAAATAATAAATGACCTTGTTAAAAGCTAAGATTAATTTAAAAAGCATCAGTTCTGTGTTCATATTGCTGATGCTTATAAGTGCATATTGGTAAAACAACCAATAATTGTATATATAATTTGAATAATTCCAATGGTGGACTAGAATAAATGTGAGTCACAGGTCTATAATGTATGCACTTCCTCAGAAAACCATAGTTACTATATCGTAGTTCAAGTAGGTAGCTGCATCAGCATGAGTAGGCTGCAAAGATTTATTCCATGCTGAAAGAAAAAAAAGAGAACTTTTCAGCTATGGAGCCTTCTTCACAGTCAAAATGTTGTGTCTCTTTTCTTTTCAGCATGGAATAAACCTTTAAGTGTTACTATAAGGAGTAAATTAAGAAACAATCAATTACAATAACTACAGTATGGTTAAACATCTGGTTATTACTGCAAATACTTTAGTTTCAAGCATAATTTTTCATTTTTCATTCTGTGAGTCCACAGTTCCTACAAGAGATTCAGCATTGATTGAAGGAACGATGCAACTCTCTCAGCCCAGTGTTGACAAACTGAAGGTTCAGTGTTCTGTATCAAGCCAAGAATACATTGGCAAACTAAGTACTGGTAGTACTGGCCCCTGGCAGGACTTAAGTAACTGTCATCCAGTACAGTACAATATAAAGGTCTGACGTAGATAAATCATGAAATAAGATAAAACATTTCTTTTCAATAAGAATATATGGAATATAAACAAGTAGTCAAAATACGTAACAATGCACAAACACACAGATGAATCCCACAAGAGTTTAATAAGTGAGATATCTAGAGTCTGTGACAGCCAGATCAAGCTTTGGAAGCTACGTAATGTTTATTCTTGTTCCCTCTGTGGTCTCTACAGAAGAAACTGCTTTGTCTGCTTGGCCTGTTGTAGTTTTCTTTATTTATAGCTGTGTTGAACCTCTATGTTGTATTTTCCAGAGAGGTATCCCTCTCAAATATTCAAAACATGAACTTAAGATATCTGGCAACCTTGATATCTTTCGTAAGGAAGTAGGGACCCTACTGGCCAGATTTTCTACATTACACGATTCTTGGTTCTTAACCACTACTAAGCATGTTTATTTTCCATCTTTATCTTTTATACTGCTGCATTCATAGTACTCCTTTGATTCTTCATAACATTTCCTATTATTACAAACAAGGGATCATACAGAAGTCTGGCATTTCTTTTATACCTTATCACAGCAATTTTACAGCCAATGTACTGTTGATGCTAAAATACCTGAACTGGAGATGCAGGTTGCCAGTGGGTGACACCCTCCATTGTTTACAGAGCAGACATTAGCCTGTGTACAGGTCTTTCCATCTCCTTCATAGCCTGCTCACATGCGGAAAATTAGGAAAAAAAGAAGAAGAAATCAGAATCGCATGTATGGTATCTCATGGAACAACAAGCAGTTCTATAAAACCACCTCAAGGGTTGCTTTCCCCATTGCTAACATCCCAGGCCTTTCTTTTCAAGTTCCCCAGGCTCCAGGTAAATCTAACAAAGGAAATTGAATGTGCTGAGAGTAGTGATTTTTAATCTTTATAAAAAACAAATGTAAATACATAAAATGATATAAAAACTATTAAAAGCAAAGAAATGTTCATGTTTCCAGACTCTGTAATGCCAGTAAATTAATTTAGGAAACAAATACAGAGTGTGTCCCTGGATATTAGGATACTAATGTTACATATTATGAATATTTCTCAATAATAATTCAGTTTGAACCCTGAAAAGAACAGCAAGTTGCTGACTGAGACATCTCAGCTGAAGCAGCTAATCTCAGGACAGCTGGGGACTGGTTTCAGCACAAAAGCACATCTGTTTTAAATCACTGTGATAATGTGCATGAGTCATCAAATTTTAATTTGTCATCTGGCTTCCAGCACTCCAGGAAGGAAACAATGGTAGTATTCTTCTGTGGTTCTCAACATATATTTAATGGCGGTTCCATTATTTTAAATACAATTTTGTCGTCAAATGTTTAAAAAAATAGTCCAATCAGTCTAACCAACGTCTGTGTTAAGACAAAAATGCAGAGAAAGATGACCAGTAGCATTAACTTATTACAAGTAAAGATATAATATTTAATTAATTCAATTAGCAAACAACGTTAAGGACCAAAGCAGCACGAGAGCACACATAATGTGGGGGGATGAATCAGCCAATTATTATGAAATATTATCAAGCCTGGGAAAACACACCAAATTCTGATAATCTGCTTTTTTAGTTTGACAGTTCCATTAACCCAAATCCTGATCATCTGCTTTTTATTCACTCTGAGAGTCCACAGTGCCAGCAAGAGAACTTGAGCCTCTCAGGGAGGATAGATGCAACTTTGACACTTCAACTTGCATATTCCTGGAACACCAAAGAGGTCACTCAGTCACAGTCAAAGAATGGCACCTGATGGCCCAGATTCAAAAACGAGAATAACTTACTACTGTGTTGAACATACATGAACGTAGGGGAGGTTATAAGTGAATTCACATTTGATTGATATAACAACACAGTGACTTTTCCATTATATTCTGTTGGTGCCTACCTGGAGGACAGGGTCCACAATGGTAAGAGCCCATGGTATTCAAACACTGCACCATTGGGGAGGTGGAACAGCCGCCATTGTTGGTTGTACACTCATTAACATCTTGACAACTGTAGCCATTCCCTTGCCAGCCTGAAAGACGTGGGTAACAAAAGTTTGGCTGTTACTGGGACAAAACCTCAAAACACCTTTCCATGCGTGCAGAAGAATCATAAATAGCTTGTAACAGGCAGGCAAAGAATTTTAACAGTCACCCAAAATTGAGCTGAACTAGTTTAAAAGCTGCAATTATTTATTTAAGGCTGTCATAGTTTATTGTTTTTGTATTCCATGTGTTTTTAATTGAAGCCTAACCTAATATATTTTCAGTCCAAAGGCATTGATTCCACACAGCTAAGCACAGTGCTTTCAGCTGTGGTGCTATTCGCCTGTGTGATTCTGCCTTTAAGCCTATATATTCTTTAAATCTAAACTGAACTTTAGTACTGCTAATTCTGCTAACTGGAGCATATTGTGTTCAAGTATGAAGTACACTAGATAAAAATTAAAATGCATTGTTTTTTGTATTGACATATAATACATTCAAAATTGATTATTTGTTAATGAAACCAAGGACTTTTGCTTTATATAATTCATACCAATTAGATTGTATTATTAGATATGCATGTGGTTCTTGTTCTGTCCTTGCAGGTTTTCCTTTAAAATTGTTTTAGGCAATTGAACCCATTTTCTGACATTATGATGCCCTTTCTATTCATGTATTACTTTGCTGAACTGGATCTTGTGATACAGACTCTCCATCCTGTGAATGCCATCCACATTCAAGAGCACTGCTCCATATACAAGCCTTTTCTGATGCTTCAGAAGGACATTGAGCTACTTTGTTAAATCAAGATGAGACATTTTGCATCAGAACCTGTTGTTGAAATAGAGTACTGGCTAATACAAAGACATTCTACCTGCTGGGCAGGCACCACAGTAATAGGAGCCTATTGTGTTGAAACACTCCACGTGTGGGTTGGTGGAGCAGGGTTTGTTGGGAAGGTTACACTCATTGATGTCAGCTGTACATGCCGGGTTACCAGGGAGGGTTGTCCACCCAGCATCACATATGCACTTGTATTTGGGCTGAAAACAGAAAGAAAGTCTTAATGAAAAGTCCTGTACAACAGAGCTGCCACAGCTGTTCCCTTAACGTGTAGCCAGTGCAGCTACAATAAGCAACTATGAATTGTCTACATATGACCAGACCAGAGATTACCAGTCATGGATGAGCAGAGCTAAAGTCCTACAAATGAAATTAAATACATTTCAGAGTTCAATCTTCTGAAACAAATATTTTCCAAAGACACCTAACTACTTAGGTCAAAGTCTTTAACAAAATATAATATAAAAGTATAATCTAGCATACAATGAGTTCAATTAAGGACGGGACTTCAGTCCAGCGCAGGACATATACTGTATACTTTATAGAGGCTAATTATGAGACGTTAAAGAAACCGGATAGCTTTTTTCTTTGGATATGCTGTGTGAGAGGAAACTGGACCACCCAGCAAAAACCCATGTTCTAGAGTCCTACATTCAAACTCGGGTCCCAAGAGCTGTGAAGCAGCAGTTATCATCAAGCCACTGTGGTTCCCCACATTGCATTACGAATCTTTATAGAACAATGATTAAGGGTGACTTACAAAACCTGTTCGATTTGCAGTTTCTAAGACTGTCCTCCTGTCAACTAGATATTTTTTAAACCATGTTAAAGAGAAAAAGCTATTGCAATATTCTGCAACAACTCAACCAGGTATCGGTAAATGACAATTACATTACTTCATTTGAACACAATTATATAATGTATATATGTAATCTGAAGAATGTCTCTTGCACCAATGTCTCACTACAGTCAAATATAAACAAATATCTTTCATAGATGTTACACTCCTTGAGAAACCATGGCATTGGTTGGTGTGCTTTGTAAAAACATGTTATTCCTCAATCCTTTTCTTTAACAATTAATTTTTCAATATACATTTTTAATGTGATTTTAAATTAACTGCACAGGGCAATTAAGTGTGCTTGCTAGCTCCTTGTATTTTATTAAATGTACATAAAAATCTATTCATCCCCACTCCTGTTTTGTAATCCTAAGAGCTTTCACAAATATGCTGTTGAGAAATAAGTTTATAGTCAGTTTTCAAGTGATTCAGCATACCAACCAAAGGATCTGCTTTACTTGAGAGATATTTACTCCTTCTATAGTAAATATGCATATACAAAAATAGACAGACTTCATTAGTGTGAACCAATTATTTGATTTGTTATTAATCTCATTAATGTTCTGGGAAACATTTTTCAGGTGCTTCTTTTCAAAAGTCTGTTGTTTTATGTAGTCTTTAAAAGATCAAAAGAAGCTGGCTTCTTTTTTAACACAGGAACAAGTAATAGGTTTATTCCATGCTGAAAAGAGAAGAAAGAAAACAACGTTTCGGCTGTGGAGCCTGCTTCGGGTGTAAGAAAGATAGAGCAGTCAGAAAAGATGACTCTTTTTTTAACAGAAATAACAATATGGCACTAATAACTGCTCATACATCAGAAACATCTTACACCTTAATACCTGAGAAAATGTCAACATCAGTAATTATTTAAACACCGTGTTTTGTTGTCTTGATTTTAAGATCAGCAACAAGCAGTTCACCTGGTTTGGGATGACTCTATCCGAGTCGATACAGATACCATGTTCACAGAGATCCTGAGAGCCACCTTCGCAGTCATCATAGCGAGAAGTACAATGTGGTCCATACCACTCTGGAGGGCAGTTACACCTGGAGGAAAACAGAGCAGACACA